GATTTTTTTTTAAATCTACACAAATCACTCCCGTGGGCAACTGAGTCTATCCCACTTCTGAATTTGTTAGAAAATATAAAAGAACTCTGTACTCATAAAACAATATATTTATTAAATAAATATATACAGAATTATTAATCTACAAAAAAACTATTTTACTACTATTATTACTCTATTTGTAATACAAAATGAAGCTAAAAACATCTCATCAAACTACAGAAGTAATTTTGATAATTATGTTTTGGGCTAGTATACCCACTGTTTACTGCTTAATACATTATCTTTAAAACCGACGACTGTGGTAAACGTTTTTTTTTCATTTTGCTGTGGTAATTATTGTCAAGTCAGAGGCGACCGATCGGGTATCAGTTAAGCGATAAAAATACCACTGTTTAATTTTCTCTACATGGGAAAATACCAGTTTTCTTGTCAGAGAGAACGTACCATTTTGTTTTTCTAATTTTCTAGTTGTTGCCGATAACGAAGATTGAATCTATAGAGGTAATTCCACTGTCCTTGTTCACTGTCCTTGTTGATTGCATCTTATGGTATCTTATTCCAGAAGATGTGTATACATTATGCTATTATTATTGTGCTATTATATATAGTTTAAATGTGTTGATGTTGTTAGATATAGTTTAAATTGTTTTGGTTTGGTAATAATAATTAATTCCGAATCTCTCATTGCAAATATTATTTTCGTTTTAATTACTGCTGACAGCTAGAATTTTTTTGCATTACAGCCGGCACCGTTCAAAACCTACTTATTCAAAGTGGGATAATTTTTAAAAACTCTATATCTCGAAGAGGAATCGAGCAAAATATCAAGTATGCTATATTTTTGGAAAGGTAATTTTAAATTATTTTCAGTGAATTAAAAATATACAGAATGTTCTCTATAAAAAATCAAATTATTTATCTACGTAAAAATGTTCTTTGAAAATGTTTTCATAAAGCTACAAAATTTTCTGTAGCAAAAAAGTTACAGCGATTTGTTAAAAATGCATAATGTGCGGTGTTTACCACCACGTTTTTGATAAAAATTGAGCTGCAGACACCGATATTAGTTTTCATCTATAATATATAGGAAAGAATGTTTTCCTGTAAAAGAGTCCAATTTGGCCCACCCCAGAGGGCGCATATACGGGAGGAGTAATGGGGGTAATTACTCCTCCCAGGAAGACATTTATAAATAAGATAACATATGGTATAAAATAAAATTGTCACAAAAAAGGATAACAGTACCATACAAAATAGAAAATCCAAAGCAATCCAAGTATATTTTGTTTCAGCGAATATTTAATTTAAATATAGTACCTACATTACTTAAATATTGCCATTACCCCTCCCGGATTCAAACTCTAGATGCGCCACTGTACATTTTTTTAAAACTTCTTCAATGTACGTATCTACGTGTGGCCAAGTAGATCTTGCAACATAACTTTAGCATGAGTTTTTGCTTTCTCCTTATTTTTAGCATTATTTAAAACACTAAATCACCACAATACACCAAAACACTTTTACCACAGAATATGTACGCAATCACTTTTACAGTGGACGCGCGTTTCGCTAACCATGTTAGCATCATCAGCAGATGATCAAGACTTTTATACAGATAGATAGTCTTGATCATCGGCTGATAATGCTAACATGGTTAGCGAAACGCGCGTCCAGTGTAAATGGTGACTCCTAACATGATTCTATTCATGGCTCTTTGTGCTACTCGTATTTGTTCTGCAGTTTTTCGGGTAATTGCCATAGTCTCTGAGCCATACGTAAGCACAGGTAGAATGCAGCTGTCTTTAGGTTGATGGGCACCTTTTTATCCTTGAAAATATCGCTAATATTTCCAAATGCTACCCATGCCAAATGGATCCTGCGTTTAATCTCCGTATTTTGGCTCTCTTTACCCAGCTTGATTTTGACAACCATCAATATCGTTATTAAATTCACAAATTAATTTTTTCAGTGTTTATCTTTTATAGCTTCTTGCTTCCTATAACTTAGCCATTTTACAACTTTCTAAACTTATCTCCAAATCTGCGGCGTTTCAGTTCCTTATCGCGTTCCCTTTCGATCGTAAATTTTAAATCTACACTCGCCTAATTAAGTTATCGATTTAATTTTCGCCCGAAGAGGAAAAATGCCGATAAAATGAGCCGGCCATTGGATAAATAGTCATAAATATGCATGAAATCGCGCACTAATTGGGTTAATTTAACCGATATATACGCTATCGATTATTTTATTTCGCTTCTGACATTTGTTTTCTTCCAAGGGTAGATCACGCGCATTACGCCAGAAATCGCTCGTGTATCGGTTTCTGTTCCTTTTTTCAATTACTGTGTCCCGTGTTAATTTCATTAATTTTTGCGCGACGCAATTGACAGCTCGCGATAATTAATTGAATGTTTTTATTCCCCATCTGACACTTTAATGCGCTTATTAAAATTATTCATTGACTAAGAGGTTTTATTTAGTTGTTGGGAGTGTGTTGTAGTATTGGTCGAGACAGGACGATTAAGCATATAGGATAAATACGATAATATTTGCATGGATCTGTGTGATTAAATAAAAATGTTACATAAAGCTTCATTCAGAACGAAATTAGTGATTTCAATTAACGTAGAAGTTTGTTCCTCTAAATTCAATGTAAGCATTCAGACCGTCAAAATTAGTGGTAGAAATTTTTAATTAGTAGAAAAAGATTAAGAAACTTTTAACTTTTTCCACTAATTAATTATACTTCAACATTTGCGAGTAATATCATTTTGACCTTTGATTATCATCCGTCAAGAGAAATTAGACGATTTTACATAAGTTAGTTCTCCATCTCCAATATCAGTGGTACTAAGAGTTTATGGCACAGCCATTGTTAAAGTTCTAGAGAAAGTTCTAAGATTTTCATTATAGACTTATGGTGTGTCCCTTTCTAGAGTTATATCATAGTCCCAGGACTTTGACAAAAGCCAGTATCTAAGACGGTTTCACAAAGATTATTTCTCCATCTCCGATATCACTCAGTGATGAGGTGTTCTGATATCTCCCCATTTTCGTCACAGAATCTGCATTCGCCGTTGTTTCTTACCTTCAATCTATTGAGGTGTTCGTTGAGGAGACGATGTTCTGTTAAAAAAACCGTGACAATCTGAAGATTGTTCTTACTTAAGTCTTAGGAATATCTTTGATTATTCTTGGTCATTACTTTTAAGAGACTTCTTCGAGTGCCTTAGACCGTTGCATGATCCCCATTTCAGGTTACGGATGGAGTCTTCCAAGTTCTTGAGTTCCGCTTTTAGTTGGTTTCCATTTGGGAAGCAGAAGTCCAGTCCAGTTAATGGAGTGTTCACTCCTTTTTTAGCTAGGTTATTTACTTCCTCATTACCTTCTATCAATACTGCACACATTTAAACTATATCTAATAACAATAAAAATTAATAGCAAACCAAGACATGATATTTTGCTACAGGTGTTCGACATGTCGTCCTTCTTCTTTTATGGACAGACGGGACCGTTTTTTTGAACATTTCTCACGGAATTTATTAAGTCAATGGGGTGAAAGATACCCTCGCATAACCGCTAAGTACTTCTAATTCTTGTCTAGATTATATAAGTAATTTAAAAATAAGAACCTTTATTCTTCCGTAAAGATAAAAATCCATAGGGAGGCCTCGGCGGCCAACGGCTTGGGACTTGGCTAGCTGTTCAATTATTAATAGATTAATTTTGTATTTATGGGGAAGGAGATATGATATACCTAGTAGTCTACACCAAAACATATATTTTTTCTATTTAATTGAAAAAAATAAAAATTTGTACATTCTATATTATTAATAATAATAATGACAAACATTTCATGTACAAATTTATAATTTACTTTTCAACGAAGTCCAGATTTTATCTAGATATCAGAGTTTACTTGTCCGGAATTTCCAAAAAATTGTATAAAAACCCTATGAATGAGCATTTTATTTTATTGTTGTAATACCAAAAATTTCAACTTCAGGTCTATATTCTATAAAAAAACAGCATTCAAACTTCTGTATTACAAAAAAAACAACGAGCATATAAAGCCCTGTTCTCGCGGGTGGCTTTCGCCGATACAAACGACCAGTCCAAATCAAAACAGTACCATAAACAAAACATTACTAATGAACGGTAATCAGTTAAAAACTGGCTGCTGCAGTCAGGGACCCATAAAGAACGTTTTACAACAATTAACAACGTGAAAGGGCATCCGTTTTGCCTTGCTGCGATGTCTTCTCGTTTTCTTCCTTGCTTCTTTTGTACGTATCTCTTTGTAGTGTTCTTTTCTTTTCTCTTTATTCCATTCGAAGCTTGATTTAAATTAATTATTTCGGGTTGGTAGCTCTGGGGTGGCTGCCGCTTAAGTTGGGCTACACGACGTCGCTCTGTGGGACTCTGTAGACGAGTGATTAGTTATTTTTGAATCTAATTGGTCAAGTACTATCTGAAATTAATACACAATATTTAGACATAAAAAATCTCAGCCAAAAATATGATAATGTTAATTAATGTAATAAATTCAAAAAACTTTGAAACAAAATAAATTTTAAAATTTCACGCCAGGGTTTTTTAACACGTTGACTGCCAAGGACGAGATAACTCGTTGTCGCTAATTTATTGTCAGGCGCCAGCCACGAGTTATCTCGTTTTTGGAGAATTGTTTTGCGGCGCCCAGTACGAGTAAATCCGTGGCATTTACGTTAAAGTGTAAGGGGATGGGCGTCCACAATACACCATTAAAACACATAGTGGCTTCAAAAACTATTTTTTTTATTTTGTTTTTTAGATCCATGATACAAAATATAGGGATACAAAAAAGTTAAAAAATATATTTACGTTCTAACAAAAAGCAACAAATGGTAAAAACTGAGCTGCAAGAATAGGAAAACTATTGCGAAAGTTTACAGCAGTAGCAAAGTTATCAAAAATTAAAAAAAAACATCTTATACTCTTAAAAAAAAGGATAGCTATTTTCAGTTTAGGTGATAGTCCTTGAAGCAGTTTTCAACACATAGAGCTGGATTTTCATCGCACGCAGGACAGAAATAGCGTGTTTCTCGTCGAACTTTTTTTGAAGTACATACCCGGCAAGCCCTTGTAGGTCGTTGCTTTTTCTCTGTTGGTGGTATAGCTTCCAAGTAGTGAAAATCTCCCCTCTGTACTCTGTTATATGTAGGCATTTTATCACCTAGGAGAGTAGAAACAAACATCTCTCTAAATTTCAGGGATTTTATCTTGCTTCCAGTCGATTTACGGAAAAGCAAGTATGTGTTATGTATATATAATTCGAGAATATGCAGTGCAATCTTCTTCGGCCATCTAATAGTTTTTCTTAACGCACTGTAGTAACTAAGCATTTGATCGGACTGATCGATACCTGACATTCCCGCATTGTAGTCCTTTATAATATTTGGCTTCATGGAAACTTTTCCGTTTTTGTTGCGTACTTGGACCATTTGTACCTTGTGCAAATTTGAAATCGTTAATACTTCCCGTTTGTCTTTCCACTTGCAAACAACTACCGATTTGCGTCTTTGCCATATACACTCGCCTTTCTTTAGTTTTTTTGAAACAACATACTTTGGATTTCCTTTTCGGTTGCTGCGTAAGGTGCCACAAATATATGTTTTTCTCGCTGTCATGTTGTTTGTTAGGCCAACTGAATTATAAAAATTATCAGTATAGAGAATATAACCCTTATCTAAATATTTCTCCATCAAGTGAAGAACCACACTTGCAGCATGCCCCAGATCATTTTCGGTAGGTTCTGATTTTCCGCAGTATACTTTTATTTTTAGAACCATGCCAGCAGATTCGCATAGTTCATACAATTTTATCCCGTACTTATGCTTCTTATTTTTAATATATTGTCTAAAAAACAGCCTGCCACGCCATAAGATCATTGATTCATCAATGCACACATTTTTATCTGGAACATAGTGATCTTCCATTATTTTATTGAAATGATCGAGGACTGGTCTAATTTTATATAATCGATCTTCTGTTGCTTCCGTGTTGTCAGCAAAATGCAAAAAACGCAACAGTAACTGGAAACGATTTCTACTCATAACCTGACCCCAAAAGGGCATCTTGTACATGATATTTTGAGACCAATAATGCTCAATAGACGGAAAACTACATGGACCCATATGTAAAAGGAGACCGAAAAAAAGTCGCAATTCATTTGGGGTTGTGTCGACCCATCTGGTCAATCTGGAGGACCTCGTCAACGGATTTTCTGCGATCTTCTGTGTTGCGTATAAATTTGTTTGTTGTACTAAATAGCGTACAAATTCATCAGAAAAAAATAAATTTACTAAATATTCCATGGTTATCTGCCCTTGAAACTTTAATCCGACATCATTTACCAAAAAATTAAAATTTGGTGGCTCCTCCTCAAGGTCCACCCACTCTGCGTCTAAATTTGGTTCTTCGGGTAGCTCGTTCTCAATCTCGTGCCACTCGGCAACTACGGGTGGCTGAATCGAATCCTGATCACTTTCACTTGTAGAAATCTGCTCACTAGACGTTTCATAGTCGGGGTCGTCATCCGAATTGTCCTTTAGGAAATTGTCCCACTCAGCCTCATCCATTTGGGCAAATTCATCAAGCTCCCGGTCATTCAAACTGCGTTTTCGCGACATTTTTTTAGCTCAAAGTAACACAAATAGCAACAAAAACATAGGTTTTTCAACAACTAGAAAACGTTAAGGATAATGATCTATCCCACTACACGGCTAGTTGCATACTAAACCGCCTGAATCGCCTGATTCTGCAAAATAGGTTATGCACGCCGTGTGTTTATCGTTTTCCCGCTTTACGAGTCATCTCGTGGTTGGACGCGTCAAGCAAGTTCGGCTTGGAGACGGCCGACCACGAGATAATTCGTAAGTTGTTTTTTTTTGAAAAAAAAGCTACATGCGGGACAAAATTTTAAAATTAGTAGTTTTTAGCACATTTTAAATAATTATTGCGATTTTCACACCGTGGCGTCCGGGAAGGTTTTAATACAAAATACCATGGCAGTCAACGTGTTAACCAATCAAAATGGTTTATTTTGACAGATCACAATGGCCAAATCTTGCTCATACCGTCCTGATAATTTTTTGATATGTATTGCTCTGCTATCAACTGCAGTTCACAAAAATATCACAAAAAGACACATCACAATGACTCCAAAAATATAAAAGTATCTATTTTTTTTTTCTTATTTTATCAAAAATAAAATTTAAAAATGCTTCTTAAAAACTACATATACCTATAAGTTTTTAATTTCATAATTATTTTCTTATTCAGCACCCCAAAATTAGCTAAGAAAAGCAATTTTTATACAAGATACCACCAATAAACTAAAATCTGTTATCCAGTATAATTCATAAAAAGTAATCTTCTTTTGAACGAAATAAATTTTCAAATTTAAAAATTAAAGCAAATACAGCGATGGTTATGAATTGAAGATCGCTTGTCATTTTATATGTAAAATTATATGGGGAATGTTATCGATGGTCATTTCTCAGTCAACTGGACGCCGTTTTTTTTTGATCATGCGATATAACAAAATGTTAATTTATTTACAAAAGCCCAGAATAAAATCGAAAATGAATACCCACATAAAGCCTTTCTTATCGGCCAATTCGTTTACTTGATGCGACAGTGTGTTTTCTTTTATTCTTACTAGCTACTGCTCTGTAGACTCCTCCTGTAGAAAGGGAAGACCAAGTTCTGAGATTTTTCAACCAGGAGATTCTGCGTCTTCCAGTTCCTTTTTTGCCTAAGACCTGTCCCTGGAGTATTAACTGAAGTAGACCATATCTCTTTCGGTTCCTCATTATGTATCCCAGATATTTTATTTTCGTTGTTTGATAATGTCCACTATTCAGTCTTCCTTTTGAAGTATTTCCAAAACGGTCTTGTTGGATACGTGGTATACCCAGGATATTCTAAGAAGTTGTCTGTATAGCCACATCTCATAGGCTTCAAGTTTCTTTGTGGACGCTTCTGTCAATATCCAGGACTCGGCACCATACAGGAGCAGAAACCAGATTACAGTTGAGGGAAACCAGACATAAATCTTAAGTAATTTTAGTTTGGTTTGTGAATTAAGATATCTACTCTTAAACAGATCTCCCATTCTAAGTGGCTCTTGCTTTCTCTATGCGGCATTTTATTTCTACAGAGTGGTCACATTGTTCATTAATCGTAGTACCCAAATATGTGTAATTTGCTAGTCTTCGATTGTCTGATTATTGGTTACCGGTTGGCCGGGTTGTATGTTATGTTTACTAATTACCATGAACCTGTTTTTTCTTGTTTTAAGAGATAGTCGCTTTCTTTTATTAACCAGATAAAAGATAACCATTACATATTATAAGAGAGATAAAATAAAGATATAAATAATATTAACCATATAAGTTTATAAACAAAAGAGGCGCTCGAGTTTCAAACAATTTTTTTGGAAATTTAATTTTTTATTTGTTTTGACGTTTTTAATGTGCAAGCCACCTTTTATTGATTTCTCTAAACCATCACTAAACTAAAGCGAAAACGATGAAAATGAACATATATCAGTTCATAACCGGGCAGCATACACCATTAATATTAATTTTAATCACTTAGCTGCCGCCCACCAGCTTCAATTACGCCATCGCGACGAAAACAATCAGAAAGATTGCGATCTGTTGCTCTCTCCTCTCCAGTCGCTGCGCCGGCGAGCGCCCCATATCGTAAACTATTTCAGTCGTGGATGGGGCCCAACCCGGGGCCCCTTATTTAATGACATCTCCTTAATAATGGCGTCTTCCTCGCGCCCCAGCACCGTAGGCCGAAGTTATTATGCCTTTTCCATTACCGTTTCGATAAATCATCGATGGTGGTGATGGTGATGAATGATGGTAGTTCTGGCAAAAAACACCTTTCAGTCAGAACCGTTTTGCTTCGCCAAATCATTCAATTTGGTAGATCTATATACATATTTCTTTTCTTTACGAAGTATCTTTTTAAAATGTGTGAGTGCATCAGCGTATATACAATTAAAAATATCCCTAAATTTAAAAGCAGTATTCCATTTTTTCAAAAAATATGTTTATTTTAAGTTAACAATTTTAGATTGATGAATTTGTAACTCCATTTAGAAATTGTATTACTCCCTATTAGAGCAGCAATTTTTATTTTAATATTGACTTAATTTTGAAATGAAATGATGGAATCTTAATGTTAAATAATGATTTACGCAAGCTAAAACTATAATTTGTTTTGATTTAAAACAGTTGTATGTTAACTCCAATGAAATGTAATTTTTAATATGAGAATTTTGTTTATACTTTGGATGAAACTTCATATTGTCTTCGGCCTCGCCGCGTAATATCTGCATCATTTTCATGCTTTTAGTAGAACACAAAGAAAGTAAGATTTTATGTTTAGCACATCGATCAAATGTAGACGATTTATTTACGTATTGGAATTTGAAAAAGACTTGCTGCATGCAAAACACGTACAAAAAAAATTAAATGTTGATTATTTTGAATAAAATAAATAGCGTACCTTACATCCACATATCTAGTATGCCATACAAAAGTTTCAAAGAATTTAAAATAATTTAAATGGATTTTTTCATTCATGAAAAAACATGCAAAAAATCTCTGTCGACATTACCATCGCACCATGATTTACCTGAACAGAAACGTAGATATTAGCAAATTCACAAACCTTATTGCATTTTTAAAAAGAAAAGCTTCCGGATTATCAGGCAAATAATCAAAAGTATTTACAAAACTACAAAACTCTCAAAATAGAACGCTTTATGAAAGCAGCCGATGACAAAGAATTAGGAGGGAAAATTCATATAGGAGGGAAGAAATCACGTTTTTAACCGTAGATACCAGTAAAGATTGTCAGTCATTTATTAGTTTGAAGATTTCCAATACAAAAACTCATTTTCCAAGAGTGTACGATTACTGAGGGACCAATAGATGGTATCAATTTCTTACATGTATTTCGTAAGTACGCAAAACTTCGATCACTCAATGTGACACATCAGCGATTTTTCTTGACGTATCGAAAAAAATCAATTCTGTACCCTGGCAGTTGGAATCAATAGATACAACTGGGGGTATGCCAAAAAAGATAGCGGAATTTCTTAGACTCTCCAACTCCATTGAATACACTGGTCATTGTTTCCGGCGCAGCTCTGCAACAATGCTGGCAGATTCAGGAGCGAACATAACAGTTTTAAAGCGACATAGAGGTTGGCGATCAAGCTCGGTTGCTGAAGGTTACATTGAAAATTCAATTGAACAGAAAACCGGAATAGCAAAAAGAATCATCGGACAGAAATATACGCCAAATAAGAAATTAAAAGCAGTTCACGTAGAAGCAGAGGCTACCAGCATTGCCAGTACAAGAAATTTACTTATTGCTACTTCTACAAACTTGCATCTCTCTTCTCTTAGAGACAAAATGTTGGATGCCTCTTGTATTCACTTTAATAATTTAAATAATTGTACTTTTAAGGTTTATAATAAATAAATATTTACATTGTTTCTAACGTTTCATTTTTTACTTTTAGGCACGAGTGCCTAAACAAGTGTCACTTTTAGATACTAGTGCCTAAAAGAATGTCATTTCGAGTCTCAAATGAATATCAAAAACTGTCAATTTCGAAACGCCTTCACAAAAACTAATTTTCTCATTTCCTTCTTCAAATGTAAAAATTCTGTCGAAAAATATAGAATCAAACTGAAAGAAACGATCGCTCCTCATCGCTATCACTTTTATTTGATCGTTTTTAGCTGATGCTTTACGCCCCGGAGCTAATTATACACGGTCAATTATGTCGCTCGAACAGGCATGAATTACCCGAGCACAAACGAGGATGAGGCTGCCTTCGATGGTTTTTCCTACCGACTAAATTGAGACGTTTATGTAGTTAATGCCGCTTTTATGTTAATGGTTTAATTAACTGGGGAATTGAACGAGGCAAAAATGTATTAGAAAATTATTGTCGAAGACTTATTTACCACTTTAATTGTGCCGGTTCCGTTAGCTTGATGATTCGAAGAACTCGAAGAATCTCGGTTTGTATTTCTGCGGTGTTGGCTAATTTCTATATCGTGGGTTTTGTGAAATTTGGTATTAAAACGTGTTTCTTGAACCCCGTGTAAACTTAATATTTTATTTTACGTTTTGTCTGTTAATTAAAACAGACGGTCTATTAGTTTTCGAAATTCCAATGATGATGTTTCATTTTGGGACATCCTGTATCATCATCATCATTCTCAGCTTATTCAACCATTTCCAATTATAGTGTAGCCTCCCTCACATGTTTAGATACTCTCTTTATAGTTGAGCCCATTGTTGTCTATTGTTGGCTATGCTAGCTCAAGTTATCCCTGCTAATTTCCTAATATCATGGTCTTCCTCTAGGTCTTTTAATTCCTCGGGTCTACCATGCTGTAATTTTTGTGGTCCATCTGTTGTCCGTCCTTCGTGCCAGGTGACCTGCTCATTGCCACTTGAGGGGTTTGATTCTGTGAATGACATCTATTACCTGAGTCTTTTCCACTCTAGTCTTTTACGGTCTTTCTTGGTTATTACCAGCATATTTCGTTCCATTGGGCGTTGTGCGACCTGCAGTTTCCTTATAATG